CGGCATTGCTATTTCCATTGCACATTTGACTATTTGAATAACATAATGTACAAGTATGAATATCTTGTAAATCTCTAAAATAATATTCCTTTATCTTGACTATAAAAATTAGTTGTGGAGTTTTTTTATTTTATACAAAATGTCATTATAAGATCTAATAATTGATTAGACATTGATATATGTGCGTGTTCTTTCCGATCAAAGACAATTTGATATCAAAAATACAAAGAGAGGAAGGTCTAACTTGTTTAACATTTTTTACTAGATTCTCTCACGTTGATGATATTTACTTTAACCATTAAACATGCTCAGTAATTCACGTGTCCAGCCTGTTAAATATATGATCACCTAACATAACTGGGTTTTAATATTTTAGGAATCAGTCAACCCAGTTTAGCAAATTAATAAACTAATTAATAATTGATGTGAGCTCTATGTGAATATCTAAAAGTAAGATATTAACTTTTCTTGTCTTTCATACTTCCCATGTCCCTATATGTAAAATATTTTTAATTAAAATATATAAACTAATAAAATTTAATTATTTAATTAATAGCACATTAATATTATAATTTTGTCCATAATTGTTATAAATAAAAAAATGAATCTTTTTTTCAAAGTAAATTAATAAAAATATTTTTTTATTTTTCTTTTTAATGTAATAAATGTATAGTGGTGAAAGTATTTTTCTTTTTTTCTTTTTAATATAATAAATGTATAGTAGTCAATTTATTAAAAGATATACTAACAATCTCTTATATTTAGAGAAGAAAATTTAAAAATTTTGTATATATAAGGATGGAGGGGAACAAAAGTCTTGAATCCTATGATAAGACTTTAATTATTTTATTGAGCAAAATCCTTGAATGATTGTAGATTAACGGGAGTTTAACATGACTAATTAGGAGTTGAGTCGACAATTCTTCATTAAATTGGTTCATTATTGCAAATGATGAACAAAGTTAATTGAAAGTCATTGTCCCAACAAGATCAAGCCCATGAAAGGGATGGCCATTGACATAAATATGGTACTTTTCCCCCTTTGAGTGAAAACCAAAATGAAAATTTAAGGTTAAGAGGCACATCTATCAACCTAACTTGAAGGGATTTACTACATAACTAAACTTTCAAAATTTAATTATATAATTAAAATTGATAATTACCCCACTTGATGACTCTAGCTAGTTTGATTAAGAAACTGAAATTTATGTAACAGGTGGATTTTTAATTTAAGCTTGTCAAAAAAAAAAACCACTAACCATACTCCAATCCAACTCTTAAAACACTCTCTTGGTCTCAATTTATACAATATCTCTTTACAAAATTAATTACTTATACTAATGAAATTTATTAAGCACAGTTTACAATCTCATCTTTTTATAATCTTACAAAAATACCCTTCATTAATAAAAGAGTGAGGGATGGCAATTTATTCAAGGAGTAAATTAAAATGGGCAATGTTGACATAATCATTATTAATGAAACTTTATTCTTTAAGACTTCATATATTTCATGACACCTGATCATCTAAAAAATATCTTATAAAATGACAGGAGAGTAACTTCAATATCAATACTTAATATAAAAATAATAATGGAGAAGGCAACAACTAATGTATCAAAATGAACAAGGAAAGTTCTTTCAACAAAATTAGATGAGAAATCTGATGACTATAATAAATATTTTTGTCTTGAGAATAAAATTTAATCACTTGATTTTATACAGTTACTAGAATTTTTTAGTGGAATTATCATAAGTTTATTTTAAAATATTTTTAATTAAAAATTATTTTTATTCATCAGGATGCTAATTTTTTTATAAAAGATCAGATAAACTAAATTCCTATAAGTCACCATAATATAAATTGTAAAAAATTGAAAGCCCCTAAATTTATCGAACCAATTGGGCCGAATCGTGGGATAAAGCCCATATTCTAATTAGGACTCGGGAGATCAGATGGTTTAAATGGTCTAAAGTGTCGAGTTGGACGAACAGTACGATGGAGTACACGTGGCAGAGAGATAAAGCAAGAAAGCTGCGTTTACCCAACTTTCACGTTTGGTCAACATTTGACATCGTGGGGATTACATTTTTGTCGTCTTCACTCCAATCTCATTTCATATTATATTCTCACTATGTACGGAATGGCTGGTACGTTGGAATGATGTGAAAATAAATCGAAATGAGATGACCTCCTTTGGTATGTTTCAAATAAAATAGGAATATTTTTGGCTTAGGTTTAGTATAATAGAAATATGATAGAAATGGAAAATATATAATATTAATTTACCAAATTATCATGAGCCAAAAAATGATTTGTAAAATACATGAAGATCGGGGGCAAAATTAACTTTGCATGATTTATTTCTACATCAACAATGCTGCCCCATCGCTCAAACTCTAAGACTCTGGCTAATAGCTATGTCACTTGCAAACGAAAAGAAGTGGGAGAAGGAGTATATTTCTTTTATTCCTTACAAATTTTTTTTTATTAAAAACAATTTTATTTGAGGGGAAGGGGGGACCCTTTGTGAAAAATTTAATTTTTTACTTGTGAAAAATATTAAATTAGATTTTGCCCTCTCACTCTATATTTGAGTTTCAATTTGGCCCTCCAATTAGTAGTTCCTAGATTCATCATTGGGTGGGGGATTAAGTTCCACGAGACCCCAACCTTACTGGCAAGAGGAGTTAATTTTAACAGGCAAAAAATGTGTAGTGTGCCTTTTTCATTTCCCCTCAACCAAAAATATTTGTGCAGTTTTATAGTGTGGATCCATGTTAATTTAGTAATGAATTCCAAAAATGGCTTTAAAAGGATTGACACAAACTTTATAATTTCTATAGACATATTTTAATTTGTACTAGGGAAGAAAAGTATGCAAATTAAGCTAAAGATTTAGGGGGCCATCAAAAGCGTTGAAAAAAATAAAAGTTGGGACTCTTTTGGTGCAACCAAGGATGGCACTTTGACTAGTAAATGCATAATAAGTTAATAATAATCACTCAAATTTGGAATCAAAGTGTATTCATTTTAACCAAAGTAATTTATGATATAATGAATCCTTTGAATTTGGCATAAAAAACATTGAATATTTCTTCATCCATGCATGTCTGGTTTCCAATCCATCACTCAATTGAATTTATTGGTGAGTTTGAATTAATTAGGGAATAGGGACATGCATCCAAGTGGATTAATTCAAAAGTGCATTCAAGTTTCTCACGCTGGACGCGCTATTTAATCGCTAATGTTCGGTAAAATGGAACTCCTTTAATTAAAAGTATAAAAGTCTTCTTCTTCATTTTTTTTTCAAGGAATTAAATTGTCATATTAAGTTCTTCTGGATTAAACTATATTTGAATTGAACACGAAAGAAGACAGACACTTTTGGGTGGATTGTGTTATAAAAGAAATACCAAAATGGTCAAATTGTCCTTATTAAATTTAAATAGGATCACTAGCTTTATTTTCCTCTCAGTTCAGTTTATTAGTTATTTTTAATATATTTCACCAAATTTAGGAAAAACCTTAACATTCATTGACATTATCTAAAAATTTCTAACTTTAAATAAGACAAAAAAAATTCTTTTATTTCCATCTTATAAATAGGGTTGGAGATAGTAATTGCTAACTATTCCTTCTGATTCTATTTATGAGACAAATATAGAAAAAAATTTATTCTATCTATACATTACTTTATTATTTTATTATAAATTTTTTTTATTCTCCATTAAATGTTGGTGAAAAAAAGTATATTATTAAAATATGTATGTTATCGATGGAAGTTAGGTCTAGCAACACTATTAGTTTTTCACAATGAAATGAATTAAGGTTCAAATTTTTACTGTGAAAGGTACCCACATTTAGTGCCTAAGGATAAAAATAGGTTAGGCCAAGCTAGATTTTTATCAAATAGGCCTAAGCTTATATGGTAAGTTAGTGGGTTAAGTCTAGTCTGAAGCCTGTTTAAAGTTTTTCTCACAGCTCAAGTCCGAGCCTACCTAAAACTTGGCTTAGCTTGAAATTCTATTTAAAAACCTACTTAAAATTAAGCATTTTAAATAGGCTCGCATTTTTATTTTAAACATTTCAAATATATTTTAAGACTATTAATATATAATATATAACCTGATTTATTAATTATAATATGTAATAATTAAAAGGACTTATCAACTATCATATAATAATAAAGTAATAACATTAAAATTAATAAATACATACAATCAGATTGAAAGCATAACTAGAAATAAAAAAGCATAGATTGATTAAAAATAAATATGAAACTGATGTGTATGTGACATATTACATTATATATATGTGTGTATATAAATAGGTCGATCTATTAGGCTTATAGGATAGACCTTGAAGATATAGGCTTGGTTATTTAACTAAATAGACTTTTAATTAAAAGCATGAATCTGACTTAAACTTATTTAGTAGATAGATTAAATTGGGTCTGAAGTAGACTATGATGTTCTGATTGGAGCCTGGCCTATTTTCACTTCTATTAGTGCCCAACACTATTTTTAGGCATAGTATTAATGAGTCTTAATATTTTCTTTGATTTTTGTAAAATGTGTTAAAAGTAATTTATAAATAAAACCAAATGAAGTAAGTTAAAGCATATTATTTTAGAATATTCTAACATATTATGGTACATTAATTAATTTGAAATTGTCAATGCTCACCCATTCACGATAACAACATTATTCTTCTTTTTTTGGGATAAATAACAACATTATTTTAACATTTCACAAAACTTAAAGCAAGTAAACAATAATCCATCTTATTATGAATTGTGTATTATATAAAATAGACAACCGATTTATCATTTTCTTAAAAAAATAATATAACTTATCTAACAACTCGCACCAAAAAAAAAAAAAAAAACAGAGCCAGGGAAATAAAATAAAATAAAAAAAGCCGATGGCATTTTAAAAAAAGAAACAGGTTATTTTGTTGAAGTTGCCATATTTGGTGAAGACTCCTGGTAGTAACACCAGAAACGCCTAGGCACATTTGAAAGAGAGATAGAAAAGAGTTTTATCAAATATGGCAATTTTCTTTTCTCTTTCGTGTCTCAATTCCTGACAAAACCAAAGTCATTCTACACAAGAGACAAATTCCTTTGCTTTTCTCGTTAACACAATTTCTGTCTGAATCTTTATGTTGTTGTTGTTATAAACACACCCTGTCTTTGTTCCTTAACTTTGTGGAACGCTCCCATTGTTCTGTTCCGCATCAGAAATCACAAACAGGTTTGGGTCTCGCTTTTCTCTCCTTACTCAATCAGTCAGTATGATCTAGATTATGATCCTGTTTCGGCTTGATATCCAGTTCATGTTCTTTGTCATGCAGTTTCCTTTCCTAGTATCTGATGAGTAAATGGTTCGAGGATTGAATCTTCTTTCATGTGCGTTCAACCCCTTTTAGATTCCACCCAGTTTCTTTTATTGATCTTGTCTTCTTTTTAAATTCTCGTTTTTCTGAAAGAAATAAACATATTGTCGCGAATGGCATCAACGTACCTTAATTTCAGCTGAAGAACACCAATAATTGTTCTGGATCATTATTTTCTCACTGTTTTTTTTATACTTTATTTTTTCCTGCCTCATTCGCAGGGAAAGAAATTTGTAATTGTTAAATTTTCTGTGTTTTCTTGTTTCAACGCACTAGTTTTTTTCCCTTATACCAATTCCTTCCTTATTATTATTATTATTATTATTATTATTATTATTATAAACTGTGTTCCTGATTATAATATTTGATTGCTGAAACAGACACTATTCAAAAGATAAAGTTTTCAGAATCTATGTGAAGAGGGTCTCAAATAAATAGCTATATATTTTAGTCGCTGCTTGAAGTTGAATTGGTCTATCAAAAGAAGTTGAATTGGGAATTTCTATTTCAGTTCTTCTCTGGAATTTTGAATGTAAGATTGTGTAAGAAACACATGATAAAGTCCGTGATGTGGTCATCAAAAATAGAGAGGAAATGGCTATTTCCTGTCATCATATTCTCTATTCTATGCATACTATTTCTAGTCACATCCTTAACCATGAGTATTGCCCATTCAATGCAATCAATCAACTCAATCTTCTTCTTTCTTCCATTTCACCCAAATGCAAACCGAACCTCTATGGCTTTTGCTGAGACTAAGGCCCCTCCTTCTCCTTCTCCTGATCCATCTGCAACTTATGCACCTTCAATTCCTCGCTTTGCCTATTTCATTTCTGGATCGAAAGGCGACTTGGAGAAGCTTTGGAGAACTCTTTTTGCTCTTTATCATCCAATAAACCAGTATGTTGTTCATCTGGACCTTGAATCACCGGCAGAAGAAAGGTTGGAGCTCGCTTCTAGAATAGAGAAGCATCCAATGTTCTCTGAGATTGGGAATGTTTTCATGATTGTGAAAGCTAATATGGTCACTTACAGAGGACCAAGCATGGTTGCCAATACTCTTCATGCTTGTGCTATTCTACTCAAGAGAAGTAAAGACTGGGACTGGTTCATCAACCTTAGTGCTTCTGATTATCCTCTTGTGACCCAGGATGGTTAGATGTTTCTTCCCCTTTTGTGATTGTTTTAACTAACTTCTTGTTCATTATCTGAGAATATTTGATTGATCTGGGTTCATATTTTGCAGATCTTATATCCACATTTTCTGGTTTGGATAGAAACCTGAACTTCATTGAGTATACAAGCAAGTTAGGATGGAAATTGTACGTTTTATCTTGCTTTTCCTGCCTTCTGACAATGACATCTACTGATAGTTAAACGATGCTTTGCAGTGAAAAACGGGCAATGCCTTTAATTGTAGATCCTGGGCTTTACATGTCAACCAAGAGTGATGTATTTTGGGTTAATCCTAAAAGAACTTTGCCAACAGCATTTAAACTATTCACTGGTTAGCTTTTGCCTTTAAGCCTTTATTCCTTTAATTTGCAGTAATGGTAAACTGATCGCTGATTTTGGAAAGATTCACTAGCTGCTCGTGATGAAATCACTTTCTTGTGTTTTTTGTATCTTAAGTTGGTTCTACAATTTGAGGATGAAATTCCATAGGGTGTCCGCCAACATGGCTGCAAAACATGCATTTTAACAATCATATAAGTATTCTTGTTTCAGATGAAAAAAAATTTTATCTTTTAAGCAGTGAAGTTTCATGTCAAGCCCTTGTACAATGCAACTTTCCAGTGATAATTTGTTATTGATCATCTTGTGAGTGAAATATTCTCTACTTGGGAATTATGACTAATTTCCTTACAGTTCTTCAATGCTGAAACAACTATGATAATTAGGCTTTTAGTCTTGATACTTGAGAATGTTAAAACATTGTGATAAAAGTATACATAGGCATTTGCTCAATACCTTAAACCTTTCATTTGGATTCGTCCTTGATATGGCATCACACAGTCTTTGAGACCGATTTGTCAAGAAAACAATTCTTAATACCAGGACAAAGTATGGTGAACCTGTGCAATCTGCATTTCAATCCCATAAAGCTTTTTTTGTATGTGAGAGTACTAGATAGATAAACTTTTGATTTGAGGTGATTATTGGCAGTGAAACAGGTTGAATTTCAGCGCTTAATTTATGGTATCATCACCACTATTTTCCCTTTACTACCCAGCTAAATCTTCTGAAGTCACTTTTACTACCAACTTTGCTTCAATAAATTATGATTGCTTTATGCAGGTTCAGCCTGGACAGTTTTATCACGAGGACTAGTCGAATATGTTATCTGGGCTTGGGACAATCTTCCTAGGATCCTTCTCATGTATTACACTAACTTTATCTCCTCCCCAGAAGGCTACTTTCAGACCATTGTCTGCAATGTTCCAGACTATGCAGAAAAAACTGTCAACCATGACTTGCACTATATTTCTTGGGATGTCCCTCCCAAACAGCATCCTCACACCCTTTCTCTCAACGACACAGCAAAAATATTTGCGAGCAATGCTGCATTTGCAAGGAAGTTTAACCAAGATGATCCTGTCTTGGATGTGATTGACAAGAAGTTACTGCATAGGAAGAAAGGAAGATTCACCCCGGGTGGTTGGTGTTCTGACAAGACCAAATGTTCAAAGGTCGGAGACCCTCGGGAAATCAAACCTGGTCCGGGATCTCAAAGGCTTGCTAGTCTTTTAGCTAAATTGTCAAACGGAGGTAGATTATTAACTAACAGTCAATGTGAATAGATTCTATGGGGAAATCTCATGGTTGGAGCTGTAAAGAGAGATCTGAACTTTTAGCCATCGTTGCCTCTGTATTCAGAGCCAAAAATGGCATTACTGTCAATCTTTCTTTTTTCTTTTTAATGTTAAATAGAAGTTACACACAATTTCTTGCATTACAAGAATGAGATAAGTTTTTTTTTTGCCCTTTTTAAAAAGTACTTGCGACCAGATTCTTCATTTTTGGAGGATTCAATGTTGTGGAGCGGAGCTGTAGAAGATCATAATCAGTTGATTTCATGTTTAGATTGAAGAATGTTATAGCAAACATTGGAAACTATACAGCAAAATTTTGTCTTTTCTTGTTGTATCATACACTTAATGAATTATGATGTTTTGTTGCTTTACTCTCATCTTTTATGATTGTTTTGCTTCCAACAGACTACGTAAGTTTAGATCATTAGATTCTAGGCTCAATCAGACATCAACTGAGGCATTTGTGGACATCTTTCCTTATTTCCTTTGCTTATAAATGTATCTTGTGTACATACGTAAATATCAGCTTTGAAGGGTTCTTTTTTTTTTTTGGGGGGGGGGGGTAACCATTTAACTACTTAATTTTTAAATTTTTCATTTTTTTTAATCTGAAAAGAAATAAGCCAAAAGGATAATTATTCTTTTATGGTAGATCAAGTGTAGACGGGTGATTAAAAAAAGCACCTTTACATATTCCATTGCCAACCTTGTGGTAAATGTGCAGAAAAGCATCTGCTATGTACATTCATTGTCATCCTTATGTCTTAAACAGATGGCTTGATTGCATTAAATTTCTTATATATTGAGTCATATATGAATGGTTCTTCAAACATTCAAAAGTTGATACTAAACACTTACAAATTTGAACACTCTCGTAATTAGTACTTTACTAAGGAAAACATAGCTTATAATTGTTTTGGCGGGTTCGTGAAGGTGTGCAAAAAGAGTGTGTCCTCAAAAGGTGTGCTATTCCTAGCATTTAAAATCAAGTGGTGAGCTCCTGAGGTCCTTTACCACAATGTCCCCTAACACAAGTGCTTAAAATTAAAGGAAATGAAGGAATAAAAATGGAGAAACATGCGAGACTTGCACGGTGAAAGTAGACTTGATATTGGTAATGATAAAGGAAATTATAGGAGATAAAATACAGAAAACTAGAAGGAAAATTGCTAGCGTGCTATTACAGTCTTTTCGTTAGGAGTTGAGGTTCCAATGGTTATTGGAGAACTTCAGTGCTTTTTACTAGATGATTGGCGCACCAAGGACACTCTGTTTGAATTTTTTGAAGGAAAATGTGTCTGATTTAGTTAGACCAAGTGCTTTGGGATGCTTTTGGGTTGATTGGGGTTTGAATCTGTTAAAGTCTTGTGAGAGATTGTGGTGTAGACTGAATGTGTTTGGTGGCTTCTCCTTTTACAGGCACAAAGTGATGGTTTTCCTATGGGTCCATACTCCAGTTTTCTAAGATCACTAGCTACAGTTTTCCCTATAACTTCCTCCACTCTTTGCCATCTCCAAAAAGGTGCATCAGTTAATTTTCATAGTAAGCAACCACCTTTTTTCTATAAGACTCGTGGGCTTGGGCTAAAATTATTATTTTTAGCCTAAATAATTAGGTTTGGAAATTAGATTTTAGCACCAACTATAACCTCCCGCATGCAAATTTGGCTAAGATCGTCGAAGGCCAAGTTTGTATAGATATTTGAATTGTTTCATCCTCCATAAATTCTTTATGTATGTGATGCAAAACTTGGAGAGCCAACCTTTTTTAATCAAAGTTTCAAGTGGCAAGTTTGCCTAAGGAGTTGGCTCATTCTCAATGAAGGGCTTTGGGTATAGATATTGCTCTCAATTTGATCTTAAAGGCACAGAGTTTGCCTCTAGTGCATCAACCCAAGATATTTAGGTGCTTTCAGGTAGCTGACCCCTGAGCTCTTTATGAGTTCGGCATTGACTTATTGTCCTCGTTGAACTCATCCTTAGAGCTATAAGAAGAGTGCCCCCCAAGCTCTTCAGATAAGACTGGTTCTAAAGGCCATGAATTGGCCTCTAGCTCATTGTCCTTATAAAGCTTGTCATAGAAGCTATAGGAAGAGTTCCCCCCAAGCTCTTTAGATATGCTTGGTTTTAAAGGCCATGAGTTGACCTCTAACTCACGGTCCTTGTAGAGCTCATCCTTAAAGCTAAAAGAAGAGTACCCCCAAGTTCTTCAAATAAGACTAGTTTTAAAGAATATGAGTTAGCCTCTAGCTCCTCGTCCTCACAGAGCTCATTGTCAAGGCTATTAGGAGTGCGCCTTTGAGCTCTTCGAATATGCTTTGTTCTAAAGGCCATGGGTTAGCCTCTGACTCATCCTTAAAGCCAAAAGAAGAGTGCCCTCGAGCTCTTCGGATATGCTCTCGAAGGATTTGCTGTAGCTCCTTAAAAATTCTTCTCTTTGTTGAGCTCTTCGTTTTACTGCAAGCATTTCTTCCAAAGTTTTTATGGTTGAACTAGGTCTCTAACTTGTTAATCCCAGCTCTATATTTTATCTCTTGCTTGAAACATTTATGGTACCTATCTATAGCTATGATGAATTACCCTAAAGCATATTAGATCATTGCTTGATGCTCTATGTTACATTGTGAAGTTTCCAGTATCTGTTCTAGGTTCCAATGTGCAACTAAAAAGTTAGCCTACACCTTAAAGCTCTGTTCACCATACTCGTTTTTAGATTGTAATGAAGTTAACGAGTATACTACACTTATAGTATCACATTCCGCATCTTGAGATCAGATTTAATTTTTACCATTATTTTTCAATTTAAAGGTGTGGTTCCATGTTGGCTCCACAAGGATGTGGTCCCATTCTGGTTGGATCCATAACTTCTGGAGCATTGATCTCTGGAGTGCAGTTCTCTAAGTATTTTGGTTCCTAGATCACTGGCTCTTAAGGGGACTAAGTAATTGATTCTAAAGGTGTGATATTTTATGACTTTGCTGGAGTGCTAATCTCTAGGTTTTTTAGTTCCTAGATCACTGGGTCTTAAGGAGCCCAATACTCAAGACAATCCCTTAAGTCATCAAGTTCAAAGAAATCATCCTCATATTCAAAATGTTTGACTTGTAGTGATGCTATCAGTACACATGCATGGGTCCCACTGGCGTGCCAAAATTATTTTGGCAGGTCTGCGCGGGCGTGCCAGAAAAGTGTGTCCTCAAAAGGTGTAATGTTCCTGACTTTTAAAATCAAAGTGAGTTCTTAGGGCCTTTTACTACAATTTCCTAGAACACAAGGGCTTAAAATTAAAGCGAGTAAAGGAATACAAATGGAAAAAACATACGAGACTTGCATGGTGAGAGTAGGCATGGTATGGATAATGATAAAAAGAAAATTACAAGAAATAAAAGATATAAAATTAAAAGGAAAAGTGTTGGCGCACTGTTACTGTTGTTTTGCTAGGAACTGCTGCTCTATAGGTTATTGGAAAACTTTATTGCTCTCTAAGAAATGAGGTGAAGGAAAATGTATCTGGTTTGGTCAGACCAAGCGTTGAAGCATCTGTGATGCTTTTGGTTTGATTGGGATTTGAGTGTGTTTAAGTCTTGTGAGAGATTGTGTGTGGATAGAATGTGTCCGGTTACTTCTCCTTTTATAAGTACAAAGTGACAGTTTTCCCATGGCTCCATGCTCTACTTTCTTAAAGCCACTAGCTATAGTTTTTTCCATGACTTCCTCCACTCTTTACCATCTCCGAAGTGGTGCGTCAACTCATTTTCACAACAAGCAACACTTTCTTCCAGAAAACTCATATGGGCTTGGGCTAAAATTATTATTTTTAGCGAAAATAGTTGGGCTTGGGGCCAAAATTAGATTTTAACATGAACAATAACCTAAAGCTTAGAAAGATTATATGGATATAATTCAGTGCAAGAAAAATTACTTGTAACAAAAATTAAGTATAGAAGCTCATTCTGTTGATGAAATCACTGACTACTCAACAAGGAATTATTTGCATAAAATGAATCATGATTGGAACAAAACGCACAAAGATCAAAGATGAATGGCATTTTGACACATACTTTCCTCTAATATAGAATTTTATCGACATAAAAAAGGAAAAAAGCAGTCATGTAATAAATCACCGTGGAATTTGTACAACTCTAGTATTTCTTGTCAGCAGAAGCTAAAGATAAGTAAAAACTACAATCATGTCAAAAATATATCTCACTAAAAAGCATGCTTGATAATTTTACATAACTTTTCACAATTAATTTTATCTACCTATATTTTATAGACCAGATTTTGTTTCTGACATCTTTCTAGACTGCTGAGTAAAAGCTAACTTAAACCATCTCCAGAATTTTGATATTCCCTGTGGAATTAGCAGCAACTAAGGTGTTTGACTGACTGCGCCAACAAACAGAAGAGATGAACTGTGCAGAATCATCCACTTCTTGCCCAGAAAATGGGTCTGTGTTCTGAAACTTGAAAGACAAGGCTGGCATGGGAAAAACCTTGTTGTATATAAACACCTAATCCACACAGAATATGACCTTCAATAAAACAGCAGAGTTAAAGTGCAAATAAATGATATGTAGGTCCATTAGTCTAACATCAACAACAGAAGGGGCTATCTGGGAAATAAGGTGGTTGGAGACCTGCCTTTGACCTTTGTTTTTTCCTCTAACCAGAGGTACTGCCATGACATTTTCTATATATTTTTTATTACTCAACACTAAGGACTTGTTTGGAAGTTTTCAAAAGAGTCTAATGGAGTGGCTATGTGGAAAGAAAGGTTTCAACATTATTCTTAATTCCTCATAAGGTAATAGAAGTAGAGTCAATGTGACTAAATTGCCGTTTCCTCTATGCAATATCCCAACAAAGTTCCCAAGTTGGTGATTTGATTTCATAGTTAGGTTAACGCAGGTAAACATGGGAGATTGAAAGAAAGGCGTGAATAAAAATGGAAGATCACTCTTTCAATATTTATCCTCTCGTCCTTCAAGATCATCTAAACATAGTGATGAATACAAAGTAGGGCCAAACACCTTTTGCTTTTATATGACTGATAGTGGAAAGTCACATTTCAATCTATTGTAACAATCACCTCATAAAATTTCTGCACGAACCCCAACTCACAAGTTCACAGGAAATTAAAATTTACACCTAAATATGTTAATTCCAAGAAGAAAAACCAGACAACCAGTTTGATAGCATGAAAACATTAATCCTGATTATCACGTAAGCTGTCTTGGCCAATTTAGAGGAGAACATACAAGCATAAAACTCGATAATAAATATATTCCAAAAGGTTTCTGTCAAAATAATTAATAGAGCATACCTCATTTGTCTCCGAACCAGTGGCAATGAATCCATCAGATACTGACAATCCCACAAAGTTCTGTAACAAAAGGGAAAATACATCAGCCACATGATATATAATCCCAAAATAGTTGAAACAATAGGCGTACAAAAACACACGATTTACAGTTAACACACAATGTGCCACAAACATACACACCTTCACATTCATGTGACCTGTGAATGTTTGAAGTGGCGTGTCTATAGCTTGAGATGTGCATGCAGAAAAATCCCAAAGCTTCAAAGTGTTATCTGTGGATGCAGAGACAAGGTTCACACTGTCCACAAACTTGATGTAACTCACAGTCTTATCATGTCCAAGGAATGTATAAAGAGGCATTTTTAGGTTCCTGAGATCATAATAATATATTCGATGATCTGCTGAACCAAATGCAAGGAAACGACCAGAATCTGGGGAAAACTGAACACTGCAGACATTAGCCATTGTTTTGATGGTACCGACATTAATTCCCTGCAGCATCAGTCCAGTTGAGAGAAACAACTCATCATACATACAGAAAAAATACATAAACGTGCAATAGATGACTGCAGTACGTTTAGTTTCAAAGCTGACATCCAATAAATGCAGAAATGGAATTTGCCTGATTGATACTCCATAGCTTAACAGAACCATCATCACTCCCACTTGCCAACATTGTTGGGTCTGCTGATGAGAAATCGATGGACCATACCCGCCTCTCATGCTCATCCATTTCAGACAGTGGTCTACTTCTTGTCACATCCCATAACTGGACAAGATGATAAGTAAATAACAACACGGTAGCAGAAATAATAGATGAACTAGTACAAGCCCTGACCTACCTGTACAACACCTTCAAAGTTACTAGAAGCTATTTGGCTTTTGATGTAAGTGTTCCAACATACACTGCTCAACTTTGACCTGCTAGCCATCTCCACTACTGGATAGCTGATATCATGATCCTCATTTATGATCGAGTCATAATCAAAAACTTTAATTTTTTTACTTACACCAGCAGTAGCGAAAAATGTCTCTTCACGACTAAAACTGAGTGCACATACTAGGTTTGAAGACTGCAACAGATCCCCTTGCTTCAGGTCAGCTTTAACCTTTAGCTTACTGAAAGATAGGTATTTGCACAAACCATCAAGGAAAGGATTTTTCCAAGCAATTCTATCCTCTCTGCATTGGTCTTTTGATGCCAAGTTGTTGACAAAACCTCTTTCAGTCATAAAAAAAGAGCCTCTACCATCAGTAACCTTCGGTTTCTTTGATGATTTGCATCGCATTAAAAAGTATTCCGACTCTAGCCTCTTAAAGTTTTTCATTAGCCGAGAATTATTTGAAAGAACATTGCCACAATTGTTTTGGTCATCACCAATGCTACTATTGCATTCTTGAACGTTGTGCTTTATGTTCCCTTGGTCAGCAGAATCTCCACTCTCGACAACTTTCATGGATGGAAAACTTGATGCTAAATGATCATCACTCCCTAAATCAGAGCCAACAACTTCTTTAAATATTGGCTGCTGCTTGGCTGCTTCTTCAATATCTGAACACAGAAAAGAAACAGTTTGCTGCAAATTATCAGCCACACCCTTTTTTCTCTGCTGAATTAACAAAAGGAATTCTAGTAACAACTCTTGTTCCTCTATTTTTTCTCTAAGTTCTATTGCTGCTTCACGTTCTTCCATATCACCTCTCTGTTCGATAAGGAACCCACTCTGCAACAACTCTCTGCTACAAAAGAAAACAAATGTCACAAAAAGGTTCTTCTCTTTGGGCTCATCACAGAATTAGAAATGTTTGATCAGTAAGGATCTTAATTCTTGGAAATAATATAGTTGAGTCTAGTGTCCAGGAACAGACTACCCCTAAAGCTTGAGGCATAGACAAAGCATAGGTCCACTCAAACCTAGAGCTAGCAGTCAGATTTTTGGATAGGTCATTTAATTGAAGAGGATTTGATATATGTTAGGGAAGCCATTATTCCAAAAGCTTAAGGGGTCAATATACAATGAAGCACAGGTCCAAAAAATTCTTGTGCCAAACAAAAGGAAGTCAAAAGGTCTATAAATGCTACTAATGGTTGAATTTAGTCCAAGTTATCTCTCATATGTATAAATTAGCCAGCAAATGCAATTAAATAGTATCATATGCAGTAGTATTTTTTTGGCATGTTCGCCATCTAGTTCTTTGCAAATGATTTATTTCCAATACTTTACTTTCACCAAAAATATAAATATCTGACTTGTTAGTACATCTAAACTAAGAAAAATCATTGCAAAAAATTACCATATTAATTATGAAGATATAAAGCAAAATAAGTTGCTCAATAGCTGAATCATGATCTCTCAATGCTCATGCATCCAGGAATCAAACAATAGAAAAGAAAAAAAACAAGGCATGAAAATGGAAAATAACAATGACAAGTCTGGAACAATTTACAATCTTGATGTACGAGAACCACTTATGTGCAAAGAAACTACCCGAGTGTTGGACGACTACTAGGTTCAGGGTGAAGTAGCCATAAGCAGAATGTAGCTTCTTTGGGCCACTCCAAAAGTAATTGCGGAGGAAGAACTCTATGTATAAGGCTAGACATTGTTCTGCTCTTTTCTTCTTTGGAGCTGAATGGGCAGAATAGCTGGCCAATTATATGTAGGATAATCAAGGAAGTGAAAAGGAAAACAAATATAAAGTGAAGATAAAACATATTGAAATACTTGAAAATAAACAATAAATGTACAGTTTTCAATATGAACCTCAAACAGGAGAACCCCCAACCGGTAAATGTCCGAAGCACATGAACTTGAAGAACCAGCTACCTCTTCAGGACTAGTATACCAACTTGTCTCCATTAGCAATGCCTGTTTCAGCGGAAATGTCTGCTTCTTTCCTTCTATTTCTTCAGTTTTGATCCTGTTTCTGACTTTATTTTCTTCAGTATCTTCTATTAAAGATGCACGAGCTGCATATGCTGCATTGGACAGCATGTAACTAGAATTCGACATGACAGTTGTTGAAGTCCTGACACATTCCATTACTTCACTTCTCAATATTCTCTGGGGATGGATTTCAAGGGAACTGAGAAATGCAGGGGTTTTAATCTGAGCACCAAGGCTGTTTAATCCATTTTCTAAAGAAACTGAACCAGAATCTGAACAAGATGCAGACTCAATGAAGGAGATGTTATTGAAAGGTGACATTACAAAGCAGGAAGGTCTCACATTATGAACAACAATTCCTTGACAATGTGCTGTATTAACAATTTCTACTATTTGCCTAAATATGTGCAAGCATTCAAATACATCCACCGAGCGTTCAGGTTTATCTAACCACTGCCTCAAGCTAATATCAGCCCATTTTGCAGAATGAATATAAGGGCCAACCGCTACCTCACTCTCTTGAACCCCGGAGAAACTAGCCTGATTTTTAAGAGCCAACACAATTCTATCCTTGTCCTTCTTGAAGCCCGAAGAATTATTTGATGTCTCACCAGAATAAGGGCTTCTGTCTGGACAAATAGGCCTTGTGTTCCTGTCTGAAACTCCAGAAGTATTTAATACCTGAAAGGCGTTAGATTTCTGCCAAACAGACCCAGAAGAACCCTCCATGTTTATTCTCTTAGATTTGCATGAGCATGATGAAGGCTAGGACATAGAGACACATGGAAGAATTTTCCAACTTGAGTAACACTCTTTCTCTCTTAAGTCTTAACACAAGAATTATAGCTCAAAATTTCATTCCAGCGTCCAAAAAAAAAAAAAATCAAAGAAAACCCAGTATCAAGATCAACTTCTCAGCTTTTCCATGCTCAACGTAATGAGTAGTTCCTGCCAAGTAGCCGCGCTCAAAATTTCATCTCAGCAGTTTTAACCCATAACCAAATACCAGAACATTGAAAAGAGGAAGTCCCAGAAAACCCAACAGTACAGATAAGAACTCAAATTTCCAAGTAGATTGGTGAAGCAACAGCGGTGGGAGTAAATAGAGAAAGAGGAACTAAGAAGGAAAAAGATTGGTTTACCAGTGCAAGCATGTAGAGGATGATGATGTGTTTCTGCCAGGCCAACCTGAGAAGGTATTAGGCAATTAGCTTAGCACCGCACTAGCTCTCTGAAACTTCCACAGCCTCATAAATTCCATTCATTTCTCAAGACAAAAGAAAACCAAAAAAGCAAAGGAAGGTGTACTTGAATGCCACCAAACAAAGTTTTCTTTGTTGTTCCTTTGATTTCATGTTGTCTTTTTTCATAGACGGAGTTTATTTTTCATGTCTATTAGTGTATTAGATTGCATGCTTCGTTAATTGTTACACAGTTTAATTCTTTATAAAAATTAAAAATATTTTATTGTGAAAAAAATTAGATTACATGCTAGTACAACAAATATTTCACAATCTATAACTTTTTGGTAAAAAAAATTATCACTAATATTATAAAATATCACCACCTCATGTCTTAAATTTGAATCATTCAAATGGACACAATTTTTATTTTATAAAATATGGGTGCATTTTGGCCTGATAACTAGCCAGACTGTTTTATTTCCAAGGTTGTAGCAACACGTGGCCACAGCCCACAAGCAAGGAAGGGAGTAAATTTTAATAACTGGATGGCCGTATAGTGAAAATTTAACGTAGAAAAGGAACAGGAGCAAATGGCAATTATTAAAAAGTGGATTAATCTGTCTTGGGTACGATGACTGCACTTTTCCAAAGTGGAAAGTCCTAAATCCTAATGTCGTTGTGTTAATAACTTAATATGTGACAATGGTATTCTAGTAATAAACAACCACCTTCTTTTGTCACCACACAATAAACGATTATTTTCACCAAGTCAAAAAGGTTTCAATATACTCTTTCTAAATCACGACATAAAATACTTTTAAAAGCATTACTTAATTTAAAATATAGGATGTTGAGTAATTTTTATAATTATTTTTTAACTATACTTCTACTTTATTTATTATGTTTTTGAAAAAATTATGTATTAAAATGTTAATTATAATTATCAAGGCACTTGTGCAGTATATTTAATGAAGGTATAATTAAAAGGATGTAAATTTTTTAAAAAAATTAAGATTTTAATTAATATTTTTTAAAACATAAATTAATTACTAATATTTTATACTTTAGTTCAGAAAGAATGACATAAAAAAGTAATTTAAGTATTTTAAGATTGGACTCGGGAGTCTGGCTGGTGAATCTAGTGATTAGACGCTTTTTTTGCCAACACACGTGTGTGTATTTATATTTATATTATTTCCCTTCTTATTTGTAAGCTAAAGAAAAAATAATTTTTTAATACTATTTATAAAACGTGTTATCTATTTTTTTATTACAAATTTTTATTTTTATTCCATTAAATATTGATAATAAAAAATATATTATAACATATATATATATATATATATTTAACAGCTATAAAATTAAAAAATTATTAAATTTTTAGATAAAATTTATAAATTTTAAAAAAAATTTCATTCCTATGAAATGGGGAGTGACTTGGAGGTAAGATTCAACGAGTATGAGAAGATCAAATTTTTTAATATTTTTTCTTTTTGGCAGAAAAAAGGAGTAGGTCAATTCAATAATTTTTAAACTAGATGAAATCAGGCGATTCAATCAGTTGCACTATCAATCAATCTTTGTTTCAATTTAGTTTGAATCACAAAACCATTTTTGCTTTTGAATCAGTAGTTAGATTGGGATTCGTTAAAAAATCATGAATCAAAGTAGTTTTATGAAAATGAGATAGCTCAATTTTTTTTTACTTTGTTCCAATTCTATCCCTTAAAAAAAAATCTCCTTTACTTTTTAGATACTTGAGAATGTAAAAACAAATTTAGTTTGTGCACTTTGTTCCAATTTTAACCCTACATCAAAATAGTACTATAATTTTCATTTTTTAGGGGCACCTTTTTTGATATATTATTTCCATTCTTTTTATATGTCTTAATTTGAATAAATATTCAGGCTGAAAAAAATCTAAATTAGTATAAAGATATTTGTTGTGAGCATTGATATTGAATCATTTGATATTATGATGTGTCATAGGGCTTATTAACTTATAATTAACTTAAAATATTTAACTTTATTTTTAAGTTATATAAAAATTATATATATTTTTTATTTATATTATTATATATATATAATATTTTTTAATTTAATTATTATATTATTGGTTTAATTGTGAGGCCAACCAATTGAAATTAACATTATGCATACACACACATATATATATGGGTCGGGTTGTGATAATATTTGGTTGATTGGATAAAATTAACATGTGGCAAGAGGAAGCCTAAGTGAGTTCTAATAATTTTATCAAAAAAAAAAAAAAGTTCTAATAAATGCACCTCCAGCCTCGGCAAACAAAAACAATAAATGCATCTCCAGATTTTTCCTGTGCTGGTAGGACCAGAAAATGAAGCCCATATTCGGACCAAACGTCATGATTCTTTAAAGGCAAAGTAAAAATAAAAATCCTCTTGCACTATACTAATAATAACGAGAACCTATAAAATATCATAATTATTCTTAAGTTTTTAAAAACTTCTCTGACATTAATAATTTTTATAAAATAACTAAAATACCACAATTTTTAAAAAAAGTAAATATGAGTGATTTTAGTTTAAACAAATTTTACCTTTTTTTGGGCCATGATGAAAATGGAACAAGCAATTGCAACTTCTATTGTACAATTTTTTGATTCATCGAGGTCCAAGTATTGTATCTATGTGTAACTATTTTAGTTTAAATAGTCATTATTTTTTTATGACAATGACTAGAATGGAACAAATAATTATAATTTTTCTTGTACAAATCTTTTATTCGCTAAGATCTAAGTGTTATAAATCTGTAATTATTTTAGTTTAACCAATCACTATTTTTTTATGACAATGATTAGAATGAAACAAATAATTAAAATTTCATCTATGTAAATTTTTTATTCATTGAAATTGTAATTTGCATAAGAAAAGTTATAAATGCTTGTTCAATTCTAATTATTGCTAGACTAATATTTACTTTTTTTATTTTAAACTAGAAGTATTTTAGTCATTTTATCAAAAATTATTAATATCAAAAAAATCTTTAGAAGCTTGAGAAGAATTATGATATTTTTCAAAATCTCATTATCATTTAAACATTTCAAGAGTTTTTTTGGTCATTTTTCCTTCTTTAAGCCTACTTTACTTCACTTTTAAAATTTTATTTCCTCCTTTTTAAAAATTTAAGTTTTTCAAGGCTTTAGCACATAGATTAAAAAAATATAATTAATATATTAAAATATTTATCACATTATCAAATCGGCAATTAATTTAATGCATTGAAATATTTTCACATTATTAGTCATAAGTGAGGGTGTAATAGAAAAATGTTAATAAAATTAACGGGGCTAAGTATAGTGAAAGTAGTTAATTCTCCTAACATTATAAGTTAAGATTTAGATTCTTGCCAAGAGGACACTAGCCACATGTAATAAATATTATTTTGAACTTCTAACAAAATATATATTAACAAAATTTTCTTTAGTGAGTTATAGAGAAGTCTCAAGTGTGTTATTTAATTGCTAATAGACCCCATTTACATGTCATTTTGCAATTGAAACATTTTTTTTTTTGGCTTGGAAACATCCAATATTGTGAGTTTGTCTCACACAATGTTAAGAAAATTAGACTAATCATTAAACTATTGAAGTACTAATTTATGGTTCAATAGCCAAATTGTAATTTGAATTGTGATTCAAACGGGCATGAATAAATTAATATATTTTAAATAATATATACTTAAAATTAAAAATGATATATAATAATAAAATTGAATGCTTAAATTTCAAACAAAATAATATAAAATAAAAAAAGGTAATATCCTTCAATATGCCATCATTTTAATCCAAAGTATATATACTTATTTCATAATTTATAATTTATAACTTTGAAATATATAAATATTTATTGTATTCTGGTTCACTTTTCTCCATTTAATAATACTTATTAGGTATAAATATGTATAAATTGCAGTTTTTAAATATGAATTAAAATTTTCAAAATAATAATTGATTAATTAAAAAATAATAGGACCAATTCAACCAATTTGCAGAATGTTCTGCCCTTTCTTTTTTTTTTACCACTAATGATATTGTTTGTCCAAGACTTGAACTCAAACTTGAAACCTCTTATTAAATCGGTACAACTTTGTTATCAGTTGAATCAAGCATTCAATCATATAAAATAAAATCAAAATCAAATTTATTACTTAAAACTTTGATGTAATTCTTCCAAAAAAATAAGATATTGTCTTGTATTAAAAAAACAAAAATAAAATTACAGGCTATATAATTGAACTAGATGAGTGGGATAAGGTTTATTTTTATTGTTACAGAGTTCTAAATTTTTAACTTAGACTCCATTATTCTATTGCTAGCCCACTCGAGTCACATAACAGATGGAATCACTGCCGTCCGCATCCCAAAATATCCAATAGAAATATCTACGTTGAAGAACATTGTGCTTTAAATAAGTCGATTCCAAAATTTGAAGAATATTTATTAAAATGAAATTGATACTTGCTTTTGTGTGCAAGTGCCTAGACACTAGCACCTGGGATAAGAATCAGATGCCGTAAACAAACAAAAAATGGACAAAAGAGGAAAGGCCTGTGTGTTGGATGAACCTTTATCTAAGTATGAGAAGTAGAAAAAAAATTGTATCAGCTTATTTTGTAAGCTTATTAAAATCACTGACATAAATAAGCTGAAAATAATTTTTCTTCCAACAACCCCTCGTATTTAGATTAAAATTCTCCTAACAACTCCTTCAAGTAACTTAATAGAAAAAAACTTTCGTTAAGCTTAAAAAAATGGGCATTGGCAAGATAACTTTTAAGGATCTTCTTACAAATTACAAAATTCATTAACATAAGTTTTTGCTAAGAACACACGTTATTCATAAGACAGAGATAGTTTGACTCCTCAAATTTGGAACCGTGTATTTTTTTACTCATAAAAATAGTACCATTAGTTAAAAGCTTAAGCCACATATGAAATAAATGAGAAGAAAATATTAACGACACGTAAAAATCAAAGGAGGAACAAATTGTTCTCAGAATTCTACAGCTCAAGGCTGATAAGCTTTACAAGAACAGCCATATATCAGAAATTGCAGCCGTAAGAGGAAAGAGATTTCTCTGTGCTATTAAGTTACCTACCACCGCCACCGGGGGCATTCTGCGAGGGATATACCCTATACGTACAAAGGGAGAGTATAAAAGAAATTCACAAGAGAAAAATCACCAGCCAAATTATTTTTGCAGTGATCTTCTTATGTGATGGCTTTGCATTTTATGGCCACCAGGCCCTACATACAACAGCTCAGCGACCAGAAACAAATAATGAATTGGTGGTTATCTGGTTCCCTTCAGCCTGAAGTCTTCTCATCTTCGCCTTGTCCAATCGCGCTCTTCTGACAGCTTCTTGAACTTGGCGATCGTGGTCCTTCAACATCTGGTCCGTGTTGCTAGATGGAACTAGCAATGGACCAGAATAATGAATTTTATGACCCTTGGACCCATAACCAACCTGCATCATTATAAAGATAGTATTATCTGCCACTGATAAATGATTAAAAAAAAAAAAAAGGAAACTAACTAGGGAAGCCACACGATCATATACTTGGTATGCAAGATTCCCAGGTGTAAAATATCATGGCGGTAATTAACAGTCTCTGTTTGGTTCGATGATTGAAAATTGTCATAGAAGTTATGCGATCTCTATTTTTCAAGTGGCAAAGCCAAAAGTGCAGGACTTCAAGATCGAAATAGTTTTAGGGTGGAATGTGCATATTACGATATTAATGTCTTTTGATCTCTTGAATAACAATTTCTCAAGCATAAGCATCTTGGATGCAGATTGATATCCTATAGATACTAGGATGGCGACAAAGGACGAACACCTCATTTGAACAAACTAAAGCAAAAACAATGCACAAGGCCCCAACTTCATCAACAAAAAATCTATTTCTTAGCAATGGATGACAGTGAACAATAAAAAGCAAAAAGGACAGGACTGGTATCAAGGACAAAAGAAAACTACTCACAGGAATTGGGTCTTTGTTGTTGCCTCGCGCTTCTTCCTTTTGGGGAGGAGCTCCAGCATGCTTTTGTTCATGCTGCATCAATGATTCAGAGGCCTCCTTCAAGGATCCCGGGAACCGGCTTATTAGTTTGGGAACCTCTGTATGTGATGATGCAGACCTTTCTTTGCGATCATCAGATAACATGCTCCTTCTTGCAGCAACTAAGCCAGACATTGCTGACAAGTCGCCTCCATTGGAGATCTTTGGTGCATCATCCTGGTTTTTCCCGGCTTTTGTCCATGCAGTACGGTTACAAAGTGGACCAGAATGGGAAGCTCTTTTATGTTGCTGTACCTGGTGATCCATACCTACTTCCACAGCCTGTGATGGCCTAGGGGGGTCAATGGGAAATCCTGAAGCAACTTCTTCAGGATGAGGGTTAAACTTCTCGCTACGGCTCTTAGAGTTGGATTGACCTTGTCTCTTCTGCCGAAAGGTTTAAAATTCCAACGTCAACAAGAGAAAATAAACTTAAATGTGTAACAATAAACAAAGATGACTATGGAAACTATCCTCATAGAACAACAGAGGATAGAAAATAAAATTCACCCGAAATAAAAGGAGATTTGGTAATGTATCAGCAGGAAAGAAATTAGATATTCAAGATAGCATTCTTGAAAAAGGATAATATACGGATAGTCAGCAATACCCAGTAGAAGTATATAATGGTTCTTTTGTCCATACTAAGTACTCCCTCCATTGAAAAATATAAAGTATTTTCAACCGAATCTTACCTTTCAATATCTTCTAACTAATACCATCTTTCCATATTTACCCTCATTTAATAAAGTATTTCACTTTAAAAAAAATATAAAGTAATTTATTTATCATGGACACTTTTGAAAAAAGCACATTAATTCTACTTTGAAACACTAAAAATGCCTTACATTTTTTAATGGAGCATTCATTACTGTGAAAGATAGACTTAACAAGTTGCACAACAATCAATTTATGCTTCTTATAAGTTTTCCTTAAGAGGCTGTTTGGCCAATTATTTTCCCAGTACTTGAAAATCTATTTATTGAAATTTTGAGGGCAAACATGAAAAAATCGTTGTCCATACATTCCCTAGGAAACATACAACACATCATTAATTTTAAATTTCTCATATTTCCTAAAATCAGACATCTAAGAAAAAGATGCCCAAAAATACTAAGAAACAAACCCAAATGCCAAAGCTAAACACCACTTTAAGAAATTTCCAAATGCCCAATATACCTTTGCCTCTCCTTTGCTTTATTTATTAAACGCCATAAAAATGTGTGTGAGGCTATCATGATCTCAAGGTAAAAGTAAGAACTGAAGAAAGTTTCATGCACTTGAAACCTGAATAGCCAAAGGGTCTTAAAAAGCAGAATGCTATCAAATATAACATGCAATTGCGCCTTACAATGACATATTTAGGGTTGGTCTTATGATTGAACAAGGTACCTGCATGGATAGAACCAGTTCAGCATTAGCATCGGGTGCAGGGACAGCCCGAGACTCTCTTGTCCCTTGTCTGTGGCCCTTGCTTCCGAGAGCTCCTTGTCTGGTAGAATCAGAAAAATTAAATTAAAATGCAACAGTCAACCTTACAATATAGGAGTAGAAGGACCAAACAAACACTGATTGTTAATTTAAAAAACCAGATGAATGCATATCTCAGTTGACTCCATTAATAAATTATGCATAAATAGAATTAAAACTAAACATAAAAACTCTAAAGGGATAAAAACATAATTTGGAAATAGTATTTTAACAAAAAAAAATGAACATAAAGACAGAGCACACACCTTCTAGCTTCTTCATCCCGTGCTTTGGCATCAAATTCCTTGCTCGGAGGATACTTGGGCAAACTTGAAGGATCACAAGGTAAGGGTTTTGTTGTGAAGAACTAAATCACAAAAACACCAGAAGTTATTGACAATGCATATCTATGTATTAAAGGCAACAACTGATCACCAAGTGTAAAAGAATTACTTTGGAAAAACTATGTCTGAGCTGATCATAATAAACAATTTCAACTATAAAATTAACAAGTGGTAAACAGAAAATTAAGATGAATTACATATAAGCTTTAACATATAGGACTTGGAGATTGGAGACTATACTATTAGGTACTTACAGCAATACACAGGACATTGGAGTATTAATTACTGGCATAAATATGATCAACTAGAGATAATATCAGAGCATTTATGTTCTTGTGTATTGACAGAAGTTCCGCAAACATTTAAATTTTCTAAGTCAAAGTTGGGGGAAAAAGTTAAACTGATGCTTCGACCACTACCAACATCTCCCTCAACATGCACCGACAGAGTTACATTACATGTGAGGAGCATTTTGGATGAGCAGTACCAACAAGCAAAATAACATCACCATAAAAATATGTTCTTGCCATCTGAATTTCATTAAAAAATGCACACCTCACTCTTCAAAGCAGATGCTGCTGTTCCACGATCAGCAGGATCTATGGATAAAAGGGTTTCCATGAGTGCTAATGCAGGTGCAGGAAACTCCTTAAATGTATCTGCAACACACCGCCTGTAGGGCTGTTGAGGTTTAAATATTGTTGCATGAGGCAGCTTCGATTTCCTCCAATAATCCTCAGAAGGTGAGCCACAAAGTTTAAAAATTTTATGTAGCTGCTCAACCTACAAGAAAGAAAATGCGTGTAATAATTTCATTCATAAAACCAAGCAAATTGAATCACATTATAATCCAAGAACTTTATGTTTTATCTAGTGAACATCATTCTTTCTCCATTTTTACTGATATTTTCCTTGCAACCAAACCTACTTATCTACAGTACTTTCTAAAAGCCACTGCATGCAGTTTACAGTGAATATTGTAAACAAATAAACAGAGCATGACAATCATTTTAGCAAAAACTGAAGGAAACAGAAAATGCATAAAAATGCCACATTCAAATGAAATGTTAAAATTCAAGCATGTACACCTCAGTTCTTCCTGGCATAATAGGCTTTCCAGCATATAGCTCAGCAAGTATGCAGCCTGTACTCCATAAATCTACAGCAGCGCCATAGTAAGTTGCTCCAAGCAATAGCTCTGGAGGCCGATACCAAAGCGTAACAACTCGGCTCGTCAATGGCTGAATTTGATTGGGATTATAAAAGCTTGCCAAACCAAAGTCTGCAATCTTCAAGATACCATTGTTGTCAATCAGAAGGTTGGATCCCTTAATGTCACGGTGCAGTACACCACAGCTGTGGCAGTGATCAAGTCCACATAAAAGCTGCTGCATATAACATTTGACCTGACAACTTCCAATAACAGAAGTAAGTCTCTTTGGAGGTTTCTTTAGTACTTGATGTTAGTTATGTTCTGCCCCAAGAGGAAATCTTACTCTTTGTGAAATTTCCCCTACTCTTGTTCAGTTGTTTCATTTCCAATTTCCAAACAAAAATAAATTGAGGTTGAACATCATATTAAAATAGACATTAATGACAGCTAGATTTTCCAGAGATATACAGCAACACTTCTAGTAAAGCAGTAGGCAAAAGAAAGAAGCTTCAGAAAGTACCTGTGCTTCTGTGAACTTCAGTCCAGGATGTGAAGCTAGCCCAGCCAAGTCATGTTCCATGTACTCAAAAACTAGGTATAGGCTGCAAGACATCCTTGATGTAACTAGACCTTCCAGTTTTATGACGTTTGGATGATCAAGCCTACGAAGAATGTGAATTTCCCTTGCCATGAAGCGAACACTCTCAGGTTCAAGATTATCAAACCTCACTTTTTTCAAAGCGACAATTTTCTTTTGTTCAAGATCACGAGCTCTATAAACATTGCTATAAGTCCCCTGACCAATCTGCACGCAAAAGGACATAACTATCGCTTAATGGCAAGTGAAAACAACAAGAAAGTAAAATCATTTCAGAAATTAACTGGGATTAAGGAGAAAATTTTACTGAAGAAAAATCACATTACTAAAATGACATCAAGTCCTATGTTCCAGCTCAACTTTCTGACAAACTTTATCAAACCACCAAGAACATATAATATGAAATTCAAACGGGAACAGAATTTTAAGTGACTTCGCTTTTAGAATTAAATGTCATCAACAAAACCATCCTTAAGCAGTTAATAATGAGGGATAACATCACGACCATCAGACACATAATTGCTAATATCATTCAGGAATTGTAGGCAAAAAGTATTCTTCAAATGAAGAGCATGGAATCATTTAATAACGTTCAATCATGAGCTGAACACAAAAAAATTGCAATTTCGCTCAATTTGATTGAGGATCATAGAATTATCTTAGAAATCAGTTCATCAGCATAATAATCAACAAGGGAGCAAGGACGTGGGTTTGTCATTTGCACGTTGTCATCTTTGGCAGCAAGCAGATTTTAAAAGTTTACATAACCAAGCATAAAATAAGTAAAAGATAGGAACAACTCGTCATGTTTAAAATAAGTTTTAGAAGTGATATTATGCAATAAACTGGAAAAAAAATCATGGATACAGAGCTCTGGACCTGATGTTTCACCCAAAAAAAAAAAAAGCAAAAGAAAACAAAGAAACATATAATGAGATGTAGCCAGATCAAGAATGCAGCATACTTTATCCAACTTCTCAAAAGAATCTGCTCGTCGTGGCAACCATCCCTTGATAGCCTCTCCAGCCACTGCTGCCAACCATGAAGGCCACCCAGCTGCAACCTGCTCCCCTTCTGTGGCTTTTGGAACACTACCATTTCCTGGATGCTGTATAACAACATACTCCGTTTTCTCCCTCTTCCTTTCAACATTATCACCCTGCAAACGAACAGAGCCATTTCCTTGTTTATCCATGGACGCAATTCTACCATCATTATTATCATATCTATCCTTCACTCGATATCCTTCCTCCCTCCTCGATGAGGTAGCCCTACATACAAGAGGGTCCAATGAAACCTTATTTGATAATCGCTCCCTTGGACTCTCCCTACTGTCATCAATGGCTGAGGGCTTGCAACAAACGCAACCCATCATATACACAAGTGACCAGACCCTTCAACAATAACCACCAATCTCAATATCCACACAAATTGTATCTCCACGATATTATCATACTATCCTCTTCTGAGCTGTAATCACAAGCTCAGTCAAAATCCATATCAAATGTCCAATAACTTAAATTGTAAAATTACTACAAAGTAATACAGTACTCATCTGATCTCAAATGCGACCCCAAATCACCAAATAGCTGACATATTCCACCCATCAAAACACAAGAAGCACAACAGCTTCAAAACTTCAAGAAATCAAAACCCAGAAATCTTCAAAATCTATGCTCTGAAGGCCACAAGTAAAAACATATAAACTTGAAAATGACAGTTCTTTGCACAGTACAATGCCTTTCCATAAAAGCTGTCTACTTTCTAATCCAGGAACATACAGCTTTGCAAATTTACAACGGAAGGAATCAAAATAGCAATACCCAGATCCTCAAAACCTTGTAAGAGTGAATTTTCACCGCAAATATGTTGAAAACAGACCTCATGAAGCTTTCCCAGTGTCCAAACTGAAAGAGTGACAAAAAGGGTATCACTGAAGCTCAGAACTTGGGCAGCGAAGCCACGGATCTAGGGCACAACGATTTGAGAAACCCGTAGCGTGTGTTTTGGAAGATGAAGGGATGCAAGGAACTCCATAAAAATTATTATAATATATATTTAATTCAATGAAGAAAAATTAATGTTGGTAATAGTAAAAAAATTAAAAACATATAAAAGCAGCTTCTCGCGGCGCATATTTATGTTGCGAAGAGGAGTGTCCCCGGCACTGCAGGCTGCAGCTTTCAGTGGAGAGAGAGAGAGGCTGTGAAGCGAAACTCATTGCATGAAGACATTCTTGTTCTTACCATATGGCCACGCGCCCAGCAAAGGGTGTGACGATACATAGAGTAGTTACTACATGCCAATAATAATTAATTATCCCTTTTTTTAATAATGGACATTAATTAGTAATTGCTTTTCTTTGTTGTTGATTGCGTTATTAGTAGCAATTTGTTATGGGGAAAAAAGTTCAGCCTAAAAACGAACAGGAAAAAAATTTCCTTTATGGGGAAAAAAAAACAACAAACCTTATTTACGGTATTGGTATGAAATTAGAATTAGAAATCTAAAAAAATTTATTATTTGTTTCCTAATTTTAATATGCACGATTCTCTATTATATATTTTTATTTTGATGGTTATATTATAGTTAAAAAATATATTTTAATTTTTCTGTCGCTATGTTCAAATTGAGTAATTATGAAAAATTCACAAAACTTGATATCCAATAAATAGCGTGAGAAGCAATTATATTAAGTATATTATCAACTATCCATTAAACTTCGAGCAGCTAGCTGACTATGGCTGTTTCAATTATTTATATATTTTGTGGCCACAATAATATATTTATTTAGTATTTAATATATTTTGTCCTTTTAAAACACGAGGAGTTCATTATTTTGGCAGGAGGACAGCTGTATCGGTTATCAAAGAATATCAAATAGTGGCTTGCATATTAATTTTTCTTCCAAATTAATAATATTTTTATTATGGAAATGTTGTGGGTGACCCTCCAGTCAACTCTTTCTCTAATGCATAATTTCCACAAAATTCTACACCTGTATTTCAATATTAGAATGTACATATTTTTAAAAAAACTTAAGTCATGTGTAAGGATAAGTTTTCACCCTTGAAATTTGATAATAAATTTTTTAAAAAAAGTTATTTAGACAATCCCATTTTTTTATTTATTGATATAATGGTGATACTAATAAGAGTTGAATCTAAAAGAATGAACTAGTTCCTTATAACGTGATGAATTAAATTTAAATTTTTGTCAAAAAAGATGTTTGCATTTAGTGTTCGACCGTATCTCAAATGAGATTGTATTTATTAGGAAGATATTTATAAGCAAAAAAAAAATGGTGGTGATATCTTTGAATATTTTTTCTGAATAAAAGTCATATGAAATGTCTTACTTTTTATTCATCAACACTTGTGTGTGTGTGACTTCAAATGTTGGACGGAAAATTGACTTAAAATTCAAAGAATCGTATACATGTTGGTGTTGTTTAAATTTTATAATGCCAATGCAATATGAAATGATTTGTCACGTAAGGTCGCCAAAACTGAAATGATAAGGCCATTTTAATTTATATTTTAGGTGAAGATGTGTGCAAACAATGTGGAAAATAAATATTAATCATTTTATGAACAACTAGAATGTGAATATCATGGTACTTTATGTAGAATTCGAAGCGAATTGCACCATGCTCTTTATCATAAAAATAAGTGCGACTATTCTGTTATTTACAAACAACATAATTTTTTGTAAATCTTCTACTACATATAACATATAAAAAATTGTAATAATCACAGGCTGTGACTTATTTTAAACTTAATATAATACTTGTATAAGGTAAGGGCACGAAAAAAAAAATTGAGCTAGGTTAGATTGACTTTCAATTGTTGATTTTCATACTATTGAACTACCGGCTACACCTAAATATTGGGGCAAATTACAAATAGGTTTTATACATATAATAAACTTATTTATAAATAAATTATATAGATTTTGTGAAAATGTGCTTATATTTCATGATATTTCGTCGTAATTAAGTTACTGTGTAAAATGACACAAATATCTTTAGGTGTCCACTCTTTTAGCTAGTATTGACCACAGTTGATTAACTTAGATGATTGATCGACCATTGGCGTGACCAACAAAAAAATGTTTTTTAGAAAATTTTATTGTATTATTTATATTTTAATATTCAGAATTCAAACAATAAAAATTTACAAGTAAATTTTTAAGATTAATTGTTCAAACCTCATTTAAAAATTGACCTTTTACAAGAAAAAAGAGTTAAAATTTAAAAATTAACTTCACATATTTATAAGCCAAATTTGTAAATAACAAGTTTAATTTATAAATATGTGAAACTTAATTTGTAAATATTAAAATATCAATATTTCAGGAAGTTGATTTGTAAATGTAAAAAGTTTTATTTGTAAATCTTAAATATTTACTTATTAATATGCTGTGTTTGTCTTCTGAACATTAAAGTATTAATATTTTATTAAAAAACATTTTTGGTTGGTCAATATCAATCAATATTTTGTTAGCACTAGTTGAAAGGGTAAAAGTCCAAAAATATTTATATCATTCTACATGATAAATTAATTATAATCAAATCTCATAAAATTTGCTTGTATTTTTACAGATATGTGAAACTTATTTATATTAGACTTATTTGTAATTTTCTCTTAACACCATTGTGAAAATGTATATAGACTTCTCATAAAATTGTATATAGATATACTATTTATTTATTTTTTATACATTAGTAGGGTCTTGTTCATTAATTTTTATCCATGCTTTACCTCATCCCCATCATCTCATCTGCGCCTATATATTTCTTTTGTTTAATATTATAAAGTATTTTTTATCAAATTACACTTTTAATAAATTAATTATTTATATTTAAATTAAATACTTTTTTCATACTTATTACCTCAATTAAAAAATCTTATTAATTATACCTCTTAATTAAGGATATTTTTTATCCAAAAAATAATAGTATTTAAAAAAAATTATTAATTACTCCCTTTGTTAAAAAATATAAGGTATTTTTTGAGAAGTTGGATATTAAAAAATATAAGATATTTTTAATCGTTCAAGGTGTAATCATTAATTTTTTTAAATATAAAAAGATAAAAATAATTAAAAAATAAATAATTATTTTATTAAAAGTAAAATTTATTTAAAAATATTTTATATTTTTCTAATGGAGAGGATATATTTAAAAAAATTGTCTTATATTTTTTTTTTTATATCTCACCGTCAAAAAAATTGTATTATATTTTGAGCGGAACGAGGAAGTTGAACCTTGGATCCGTCATTTCTAACTGTTAAAAAAAGGACGAGAAACCAACCAAGAAAGAGGGGGTCCTCGAGCCATTGATCCGCGCTTAGTTCTTAGGCTCTACTCCTACTTCATGCTATTATCACTTTGAGCTAGCATTAGGTGGCATTGACCTCTACGTTGAAGGAGCAGCGCGTGTTGAAAGGAAAGGCTTGAGGAGCGTGGGGGAGGAGAGGCAGCATAAGGGACGAAGGGAGAAAGAGGGGGGGTCGTTTGGGTCATTGAAAGTCGTTGGCTTTTCCACTGCTTTATCAGCTAATTCCATAAATTTTGTTAGGTGACAGAGTCCGAATTTACCATCCTGCCCTATCACTCACCACCGAAAAAACAGTCCCTGTGGCCCCCACCATGTTCGGATCCAACGGCTCTCAGAGGCCTCACGTCCCTCATCCTGCGCTCCACGTCGCTGCTTTTATCGTTTTTGGCTTACAAACGCCTCTGTGCTGTCTCTGTCACTTTTGGACAGGGCTTCCTTCTTACATCACTTGTTGCCATCTCTGATCTCTTTGCTTTGCTTTTCTTCTTCAGTCTCTCTTGATGGCAAGATTAAGTTCGTAGAATCATTATTATTTCAATTCAATGTCACTGCAGTCGCACTCGTCTTGCTTGACTTTTGTTATTTCTAAAACAACAACCGTTTTTATTGACAATAAAAATTTGAGTTCATCCTCCTGCAAGTCTATCAATTACTCCATCCTTCTTAATTTATAAAATATTTTTAAAAAGGATTCAACCTGTCAAAATTAAAAGAAAGAATCGCATTCAATGATTATTCAATAAATTTATTCAAAGATAATAATTAATATAGAATGAATGATTGTTAAAATAATAACATGATTTATTTTTTCAAGAGTATGACTTGTTATTAGTTCTTATTCATGAATAATTTACTTAATTAATTTTGGATGTGATTTTTTTAAATATAAAACACTTAAATAAAAATAAAATTTTATTAATGAAGCATTTTCAACACTATATTTCCTCTTTTTAAAATTTTTTTCACAAATTAAGTATTAAATTGAGAGTATTTTTAAAAGTTTATATTTTTATTTTAAAAAATAGTTGTAAAATATATTTAATGTGTTGTGGTTAAAAAGAGGTGAGATATAAAAATTAGCTTCATAAAGTTGTTTCTCTTGACTAACAATTTTTTATAAGTTTAAATTTTGTTTTGCCCTTTGGACTTTACCTGAATAGTCATTAAATACTTTAAATTTAATTATGAGTTAATTTTATTTTTTAACATTAAATATTTTTTTCCTTATCACCCTACCATTAATCAATCTTTTTTTCACCACTAATGGCCCCATGTTACATTTTTAATACTTTTTTATTATAAAATATTGTGTTGAGAATCATTTTTGTCCTTCGACCTAATCTAAAAAATTAGCAGGCACCCTAAACTTAAATATATTGTAATAAAAAATTTAAAAATATAATGTAAAGCTCACAGTGAATAGACAATGAGTTAGCAGCAATTAATGAAAAAGGAAATATTTAACATTAAAGAACATAATTAACCTACAATTAAATTTAAGATACTCAATAATCCTTTAAATAAAGTTGAGAAATAAAATAAGCTAATAGCTTTTTTATATGAGACCAAGTGTGTCCTTCACAGAATTGTAGTTGATTACAAATACTAGTCTCCCACGGGGTAAAGGACATGTTTTTCTTAACTAATTAAATTGTGTGTGCGCGTGTGTGTGAGTTGGGAATCAACTATCAACTGCTTATCTAACTTGCGCTAACTTAGAGTAGGTCTAAATAACATTTGCGTTGCTGATAAAAAATAATCTAATCGATAAAGATGCAATTTATTGATATAATATGAATATTGTTCAAAATCGAACTTCGTTGATGCAAGTATACTTGTAAATGCTT